GTCCCAGGAGCACGGTTTGCCTGGACCATGTCTAAGCAGAACGAAGTAGCCCAGCCTGGGAAACTCCTCCAGGCCCACCACCAGTCAGCCTTCAGCAGGGTGCTGGCATCCAGCAAGTTCCGAGTGTCCAGTAAGCACGCTATGGTCGAGGAAGATGGGGGGGGGGGGGGCAGATGGGGCAAGATGCAGAAGTACCCAGCAGGCGCACACCTGAGCTCCGGCCAGGTCTGTGTGAGGACTTATGGGAACCATCAGGGTTCGATTGGCCGTGAACTTGGGGAAGGAGTAAAGATGAAAGTAGAAGGGCCGGGAACAAGGTCAGCCCGGAAGGAGCCGTGGTGTGGGCAGGAGAGGGCCTGTGGGCCCAGCCTTAGGAGACCTTTCTGCCAGCAGGGTATGTCTGGGAAGGGCCCAACCCTCGGGGAAGTGTGACTAGATGTTGCCTGTCGGGAGGAGGTGTGGGGAGGAGGTGAGTGGAGGTGCCAGCTCCGGGCTGGGCACTAGTCTCCTGGGAGCTGGTATTTTGCCCAAAAAGTCCCAGTTAGCCTGCAAAGCACACTCATTGTCGGGCAGGCGGGGTGCGCCAGGCCGTGGCCTCTGAGTGCCTCTTACAACGGAGTTATTTTTAAGTCCTTCTCGATTTTCCTTTCTTCTCTCCTCCTTTCCTTCAACCTACACACTTTGTGTGTCTGAGTAGGAGAGGGTGAGGCCAGACACGGGGGTGGACCAGTTGGACCTGGCTTCCTGTCCTGCGCCTGCCTCCAAACATCTGGGAAGTGAGGAGCTCACCACTGTACCCCCAAACCATCCCCAGGGTCTCCCCAGGAGTTCCTACGAACTGCTCAGTCCTCTTCAGAGGGAGGCCTGCTTCTGTCTTGCCTCCTGCATAATGCCACACAGGCATGGAGATGGGGCGGGGGCCTTTGCCTGTGGAGCCCGAAGATTCTCTGACCTGGGTGAGCACAGAGGACAGGGAACGAGGGAGGCCCTCCCTGAACTGTGAAGGAGTGGGGAGATGCCCCACTTGGAGACTTCACTGCCTGTCACCAGCCACAAGGCCTCGGGCCTTTGGGAACTTGGAGCGTGGCCAGAGTGGGCTGCACAGCCTCTGGGGACAGAATAGCAGCACGCGGGAAGATCAAGAGTATTCAGCTCATGAGAGCTTCTCTGAAGGGTTTTGATTGTGGTGCTGGGGATGGACCCCAGGACCTCCAGCACAGGAGACAAGCACCCTTCCACTGAGTCACACCCCAACCTGCACTTGGGTATGAGGAGGTGAGACAGCAAGTCACCACGATGCTGTCAGGTGAGCAGCAAACACATCGCACACTGTAAATGTCCTCTGCCATGGTGGGGCCAGAGAGGGCCGGCACATCTGCACAGTGGAATACTACACAGTCAGGAAAATGTGTGGTTCAGAGTTCTGTGTACTAACATGGGAAGACCTCCGAGGTAGTATGAAAAAAAAAAATCAAATGAGCCATTTCAAGAGCCTGACAATTTGATCCAATTTCTGTAAAAGTAACTCTGCCATTCACAGAGATCTACACGGGAGAAGTGAGGGGAACCGTTCTAGAAGAAAGAGTCCTATGAGAGTGGGGGAGGGGTTTGGTTCAGGACCTCAGGGCGCCAACTCCTGTCTGTCGTGATGCTAGCCACGCGTCGTGCAAGGGAAATGAAATCGTTCGGTTGTTTGTTTGCCCTCCCTGTGTGCACATGTGCTCACTGGGGTGCATGCATGCTGTGTGTGAGTACTCGTGAGTGGAGGTCGGAACAACCCTGTGTCTATCTATTCCTTGGTCCCTCTCCATCTTGCTTTTTGGGACAGAGTCTCTCACTGAACCCGGAGCTCACTGATTTGGCCAGGCTGTCAGGCTAGTGAGCTTCAAGGATTCACCTGTCTCTGCCTCCCCAGTGCTGGTGCTGGGGTTACAGATGTGTGCCACTGCATTAACATGGGACCCGAGGATCAAATAGTCTGACGAGGAAATTATCCACTGGGCCATTTCTCCAATCCAGGAAAACCTGGTTTTAAAGGGGACTTCTACTCCGGGATGTCTTGTAAGCCTCACAAAGGACAGCAGCTGAAGGCCAGGAATGCTCTGCAGATGAGGAGACTCTGCAGAGGGAAGAGGTCTTCTGGAAGAGCTCAGCCCTTCGGCTCTCAGAATAACAGGATGCTCCTGGCTGACTCGGCCTGGCCTCGGCTGCCCATTGGCTCTATCTGGTATAACCCCAGCCAGATCAGTCAGGGGTCACCTGACCTTGGCAACTGTCACTGTCTTAACTGTCCTGATCCACAGTGTCACCCTCCTGAGCTCTGACCTCTGTGTGTCCTAACCAGCCCCGCCTGTGCAGCAGCCACAATGATTAGTTCAAGTTCACTGACAGGAAACCGAAGGACACAGCAGTTAAGAAGTCGTCTGTCCTTTAGCTGGCCAGTGGCAGAGCTGGGTTTGAACCAACCCTTGGTTGCATGTTACCCTGCTTCCTGCCTCTGAGTGCCCATGAATGCCCAGAGCTTTGGGACTTCACTACTTCACAGTGGTCCCAAGCAGGCCCGCCCCCTGTCTTCATCTCCTCCATCCTGTCTCTCTCCTCCTGTATCTCTCTTCCCTGTTCTTCCCTCTCTGTCCCTCTTTTCCTCCTGTTCCTTGGATTCAGTTGACAACTGCGCCCCTGTCCCCTCCATGGTCTGTGGCCACGCTCCCACATCTGTCTGGTTGGACCCTCTGTGGCCTGTGGCCACGCTCCCACATCTGTCTGGTTGGACCCTCCGTGGCCTATGGCCACGCTCCCACATCTGTCTGGTTGGACCCTCCGTGGCCTGTGGCCACGCTCTCACATCTGTCTGGTTGGACCCTCCTATAGACCCAGGAAAATTCCCATTTTAGAGACGGGGGAACTGATGGGTCAAGGTGACACAGCTGAGGAGGGGCGGCAGGTAGCCTGAGTGGCAGCCATCAGTTCCAAATTCCTGCCATTGGTCTCCTCCATTGGCTTCCAGACCCCACAATACCAGAGATGCCTAGGAAAGCCAAAGGCATCTCTAACAGGTACCAGCAATGGCGGGATCTCCTTCCAGCAATGACTTGGGGATTCTTTCAAAGGGAAGGAAGTGCGGAGGGAGAAAGACAGATGCTAACCAGCCAGACCCCTGTTTGGGTCCCCAAGCCCTTCAACTACCAGCAGCATGACCCTGGGCCAGTGGCTTGATCACTCTGAGCTTGTGTCTTCAACGGTAAAGTAGGGAGGGAGTTGGCAATGCCAGTTATGAGTCTCTGGGACTACACCGCAGCTCAGCAGCAGGAGGGATAGACAGAGACAGGGCAGGGGCAGGGGGAGAACTAGGAAGGACAGGAGGGGCGGGAGGAGCTGTTGAGAGGCAGGGTAATGGAGGGAAAAGCAGGAGGGCCTGAGCAAAAGTAGCAGGATGGGAGGAGGCAGGGCAGGGGCAGGCAGGGCAGGGGCAGGTGGAAGCAGGGGCAGGAGGAGGCAGGGCAGGGGCAGGCAGGGCAGGGGCAGGAGGAGGCAGGGCAGGGGTAGGCAGGGCAGGAGGAGGCAGGGCAAAGGTAGGCAGGGCAGGAGGAGGAAGGGCAGGAGGAGGCAGGGCAGGGGCAGGCAAGGCAAGGGCAGGCAGGGCAGGGGCAGGCAGGGCAGGAGGAGGAAGGGCAGGGGAAGGCAAGGCAAGGACAGGCAGGGCAGGGGCAGGCAGGGCAGAGGCAGGCAAGGCAAGGGCAGGCAGGGCAAGGGCAGGCAGGGCAGGGGCAGGCAGGGCAAGAGGAGGCAGGGTAGGGGCAGGCAGGACAGGAGGAGGAAGGGCAAGAGGAGGCAGGGTAGGGGCAGGCAGGGCAGGAGGAGGCAGGGCAAGGGCAGGCAGGGCAGGGGCAGGCAGGGTAGGGGCAGGCAGGGCAGGAGGAGGCAGGGCAAGGGCAGGCAGGACAGGAGGAGGAAGGGCAGGAGGAGGCAGGGCAGGGGCAGGCAGGGCAGGAGAAGGAAGGGCAGGAGGAGGCAGGGCAGGGGCAGGCAGGGCAAGGGCAGGCAGGGCAGGAGAAGGCAGGGCAAGAGGAGGCAGGGCAGGAGGAGGCAGGGCAGGGGCAGGCAGGGCAGGAGGAGGCAGGGCAGGGGCAGGCAGGGCAGTGAGACAGTATAAACAGATTCCTTGGGTCTCCTACACAGTTTGGTGGGTAACTTCGAGGAAAGAGTGTTCAAAGACACAAGCAGATTTTTTTTTTAAAGCCAGAACCTGGCTACAAAATGACAGTTCGCTTTCCAGAAGCTTGGTGAGAGCCAGGCCCCAGCCCAGCTTCCATAGCCACCATCTTCTCTGGCCACTGGGAGACCCTGAACTGCACTCAGAGGGGATGGTGAGGAGGAAGGGGAGACAGACTTGGGACAGGTTCTGGGGAAGATGGTCAGACAACCGCCGTGGCTACTGCAGATGTCCAAGGCGGAAACCTCCTGGCTCCTAGGGGGGCCTGGGAAGACGGAAGTGTGGCAGTGAAGGGGGGCATGGAGCCACTGCGAGCACCCTGTGGAGCGTGGCACTGCTTCTGTCCACACTGATGGACCAAGCCATGAGTGACGCCGGGCTCCAGCAGGACAGGGCCACTCTGTGTCCTTTCCAAACAGCGTCTCCGTCACCCTTTTCTGCCACAGGCTTGCTGCTCAGGGAGGCAAACCCAGTGAGTGACCTAGATTCTGTTTTCAATCAACAGCACTCTCCTGATTCCCACCCACCTCACAGATGAGGAAACTGAGGCCTGAACACACTAGAATCCGCGTTTGTCTTGATTCGGAGCATGCAGCTCCACTCTGTATCACCCACAAAGACTTTGGGAAGCCCCAAACTTCTTCAGACACAGGAAGCATCTCCAGACACTGCCCAGGGACTAGGGGGTGCCTACAGCAAGGGGTGGAGTGTGGTCTTTCCCAGTCTCTCCACGTCCGCATCTCTGTCCCCAAACCTCTCCCCAGCCCCTCACCTGAGGGTGCCCTACCTTGTGTGTGAGGCTGGGGTCTCTTGTAGCACTGTCGTCCTCCTCCTCGGAGCTTCCCTGTTCTTCGTCGGATGTGAGGTCCTCTCTGGGAGCCGCTGAGATGGGACAGACCTTGTAGGGCTCCGTGTAGGCGCTAGGCAGAGCAGGAGAGAGGGTTACAGTTGCTTGTCCGGCCCGTTTCACGAGCCCCCAGTGAGCACTCAAGGGTGACCCAGGGCACACTCCCTTCACCCTGGCCACAGCAACTCCCTTTCAGTACATCAGACAAGTTAGGCTCTCTGTGGCCTCAGTGCCTTTACACATGCTATCAAAGACATCCCCACGTCCCTGTCAGGTCCAGGCAGGCTAAGACATGAGGGAAGACAATTTAACCTAAGCTAAACCAAGGCTTCCTCCCAGCAGGTCAGACCTTTCTGTTCTGCATTTCAAAATATTGGATGTGTGTCTCTTCGTTTGAACTGTGAGAGCAGTGTCTCTAGCCACAGGTTCTGAGCTTCCTGCTATGGTACAGGAGAAAAATACCCCAGACTAGGTCTGTTGGATGCTGGAGCCTCTCTGCATCTGCCCTCTGGTCTGTGGTGGCACTGTGGACATCAGTGGCATAAGAACACATGCACAGAGTCAGGCGGTGGTGGCGCACGCCTTTAATCCCAGCACTCGAGAGACAGAGGCAGATGGATCTTTGTGAGTTCAAGGCCAGCCTGGTCTACAGAGCGAGATCCAGGAAAGGTGCAAAGCTACACAGAGAAACTCTGTCTCAAAAAAAAAAAAAAAAACACATGCACAGGCACGTGGCCGAGCCCAGGTCTTGCCTTTCAGAGCCACCTGGGAAAATGTGTAGCCATTTGTCTCACAAGTAGGTGGCAGGGAGTCTGGGGCACTCCCTCTTAGAGAAGTGGCCATGGTTGCCCAGCAGAAGCCTGTTATGGCTGCACAGGACCGCTGGCCATCAACAGTGAGGGCAGGAGTGGTCAGCTGAGCTTCAGGACTCTCGTCAAGGAGCACAGGGCAAGGGCAGGCCTTTTGGAGAACGTCCTGGGGAGGAGGGGAAAGTTTCCGGCCAGCTTCACGGGCATCAAGCTCCTCCCACCTCTCCATAGGTTCCCTGAGTCCATGGTGCCTCCATCACATCATCTGTGGGTCAGGCCACCTCCTGCCTCAAGGTTTGTGACATCCAATTCCATCCTCACTGTCCACCTGTCTGTTTTTCATCCACTGGGGAGAGGGACCTTGGAATCCACTCTGGTCCTGTGGCCCTTTTGCTAAAAACTCTTTGTAAGTGTTATGACATTGTCTAGATTGGCTCCCACAACACAGCCTGTCCCTCGTGAGCATGCTGATTAAGAGGGTGGGCAGGGCTGGGGGGCTGGAGCAGTGGGTAAAATGCCTGCCATGCAAGCCTGAAGACCTGAGCTCAGAACCCCACCACCCAGATAAAAGCTGGGTATTGTGGTATGCATCTATAACCCTAGCACTGGAAAGATGGAGTGGTGGCAAAGATTGGCAACCCCTCGAGCTCACTGGCCGGCCAGCCTGGCCCAGTGGACACGGTTCATGTCTAGTAAAAGAGTCTGTGTTGGAAAGAACTATAGAGCAATAGAGGAAGACCCAGGGACCAAGGTGGTGATGGGTACCTTAATCACAGCACTCAAGAGGCAGAGGCAGGTGGATCTTTGAGTTGAAGACCCTCTTGGTCTACATAGCAAGTTCCAGGCCAGCTAGGACTACACAGTGAGACCCTATGTGAAAAAAAAAATGAGAGGAAGACACCCTTGTTGAGTTCTGGTCTCCACACACATGCACATATACACACAGGAGCACACGCCCACAGGAACATGGCAACACATGAGAAGGGATGTGGAACGCACACCTGCTGTCCTGTCTGGAACCCTGGCTCTATCACTTCAAGCAAGTTACTTTCTTCTGTGGCTCGTCTGGTTTTCTATTTTCATCCCTAAAATGGATATAGGAGGTGATGCAGGGTTCAGGGCGTTCTGAGGACGGTGAAGAAACTGCACAAAGGTCCTCAGCAGAGTGGTGAGGACACTCACTAGATGTTAGGATGCTGTCCCACAGCCTGGCAGCTGCAGATGGATGGATGCCTTGATCAGCCTAGCCGCTTAGTAAAGAAACCACTGCAGGCCCATCCCCACGTCGGCTGTCACCTCATTTGCTCTCTCATGCCCCACTCTAGGTGGCCGTCATCCCTATAGTAACTCAAGGCTGGGTGGAACAGTATGAGGGTCAGGTGGTCAGGTCAAGTTCAGTTGACCAAGAGACCTGGAACCCACACATCGGGAAGGAGGGGGTCTCCCTGAGACCTTGGGTGAGTCACTCAAGGTGAGATCAGCCTCACTGTCTGCTGGGTTGGGTTTGTAAGGGCCTAGGAGATTTGCAGCACATACTGGTGGCTGTGCCTGAAGCCCTCCAGAGAGGATCAGCAATGGACTAGAACCACCGCGGATGTGGGCAGCACCATCACAGAACCTGGAGGCCCTGGGGGGTGGACAAAGCGGGAGGTCGCTGCCAGCCCGAGGAATTCTCCGTCTCTGCTTCCTGGCCATTATGAGCTGTTCCATGACACCCTCCCCTCCATGGCAGACTGAAACCATGCGCCATAGTCAGTCTTTTCCTTCCTTGCGTGTTTCTGCCAGGTGTTTCGTTACAGCGATGGAAAGTGGACCAATACACGCAGCTTGTTTCTAGTCTGTCAAGCGGGGGTCCACAGGGACTGCTGGGTCACATAAGCGCACCAGGGGGAAGACAGCCGGTTTCTCAGCCTGTGAGGAGCCAGCTTCTAACTGCCAAGCTGTATCCTCCCTCTGTGTCATTTTAGGTTTAAAGAGAGCATTACAAGCTGCCCAGAGCCCGTTACCTTAATCGACCCGCCAACTGAGCCCGGGGCCTTTCCAGCAGCCTGGAGTCGTAAAAAGACATGTCTCCTCTGTGACTGAGCCTCACACTGTCCAACTCTGACCATTAACTTCCATCTCTAACAACACAGTCTAAAGGGCCTCATAACTTATCAGAACGCATTCCCCCTTGGGAACCGCTAGTGTGAGCTTGAGCCCACAGCTGGAGCTGGACAAGTGTGGCTGAGGCCAGCCTGTCAGGGAGGGGAGGGGGCTGAGGCAGAGCACTCCGCAAGCTGGAAAAATTGAGATGGAGGCAGCTAGCAAAATGTGACGACTGCAATTAGTGGAACAGCTTGAAGAGCCAAGGAGCAGACAGAACAGACGGAGAGGGACAAAACTGGGATTTCCCAACATTTGGCCTCCACTTCTGACCATTGTCTGTCTGTCCCTGTTGGTTGTCCATCTGTCCATGCTCCCCGCCCTGTCACCCCTGCAGCAGACAGCACTTTCTCAGCACGCAGACAATCCCTCTAGGGCCTCCCCAGGTGGCCTCTTCTATGGAGAACTAATTTCTCTCCTGTCCCACCCCCTCCAACAAGCCACTGAGATCTGTCACCTCCCACTGTTCTGAATGAGGAAATCTAATGAGGTGGAAAGAGCCTTGAAAATGGCCTCAAGCCAGGGCACACTCAACTTTGTGGCTGCCATGCTAAGCCTCAGCTTCCACATCTGTGTAATGGAGGTGGAGGGCCGATCATGCCTGGGCTGAGGCCAGGCTGCAGGCATCTGCATCCTGACCTGCCTGTTACAGCCTCCCATCTGCAGAGAACTCTGCTCTGTTCCTCCTGGGGAGAACGCCCCCTGCACCTGGGGTCAGCCAAGGGGTAGACAGCCTTGTAACGTTTCCCAGAAAGGGCTCCAAGGAGAGGCTTTTTAGAGAACTCTATTTCCATTTCTCACTAAGTAAAAACAAGCTGTCTTGCTCCCTGACCTGTGACGTCTCCAACACAGCACTGGGGGTTGGAGGGATTGTTTTCCACTTAGGAAAGTTCTTCTGAGCTGTGACTCACAGGCCATGAATTTTACCCTTGCACCAAGCACGACTCAGTGCTTTTTAGTGTGCTCAGAGGGCTACTCACCTGCCACCATGTCTAATGAGATGAAATTTTCATCACCCCCATGCCCTTTAACTGTGTGCAAGAGGTCCCTGGGTCCTGGCAACTTCTAGCCTGTTTTCTCTATTTTAAACCTCAGGTCGATGGGATCCACAATACGAGGGCTTTTGTGTCTGGCTTTTCTCACTCAGTATGTTGTGTTGAGGGTTCACTCACGCTATAGCAGACATCAACACTTCATTCTTTTGCATGGCTAAATAGTATTCCATTCAATAGACAGCCCATAATCTGGAATGTCTCTGGGTTGTGCTGTTGTTACTAAGGCTTCTGGGAATGCTAGTATACCAGTCCTTAAGCAGCTGTGCATGTTTCCTTTAAGCTGTACACACAGGTGTGGGACCGCCAGACACATGGTCACTCTGCGTTGTGAATTTTTAGGAACCACAGGACTATCTGCTCATGATTTGACATAAGCGTCCAGGTTCCTCCCCATCCTGGCAAACACTTGTTATGGTTGGTCTTTCGTTTTAAAGGGATTTTCCAAGAATTTCCTGACCATTGGGCCCAGCTCAACCTTTTCTTAACCCACTCAAATTCTGTAGCCTCTTCTGGCCAAAGGGGTAAAAATAAAACCAATCATGCCTGTGGCCATTAAGGTTTATTTTTAGATCATTGATGAGGCTCGAAGTCTAGTGACATAAAACATTTTAAAGATCTGCAGAACTCATAAAATGACAGACTGGTCTAAAGAGGTAACATTCTAGAACAATCCACAAGCCAGAGCTGTGAGCTTGCTAATCCAGCGATGCCCTGGGCTCCAGCCTGGGCAAACAGCAGCCTCTGTTCCCATCAGGTAAGTGTCCCCAGAGGCCCTAGGGCTCCTAGGCTGGTGTTACTAGAAGGTGCTGGAACTTTTTAGAGAAAAGGCCACGTGGAATGGAGTGACACTAATGGGGAAGGGGCCCTGGCACCCTTTTCCTCGCCTTCCCACTCCCCCGCCATCCCTAGTTGAGAAGAGAGCAGCTTGGCTCCCTATCACGCTCCTATCATGATGTGCTACCACAGGCCCAACTCAATGGGTCCAGCTGATGGTGGGCTGAAAGCTCCAAAGCTGTGAGCTAAAACAAACCTTTTCTACGTGTAAGGAGATCCACTCGGGAATT